GGAATTTGAGGATCAAGCTATATCCAGTAACTAGATTTTAGATGCACTGAGACTACTTTATGGAATATCATTTTTGTAACAACGGAATGAGACAGAAAATAAATTCTGCAATTTAAGTAATTAAATATTTTTTAAAAGTTTTAAAACCGACTTACTGGTGTTTTCAGGTTGCCGTTTCTCACACAGGTGCCATTCTGCACAGCAGACTCAGGCACAGTCTCATCATGGACAGCATTCACTCTAAAGTGTAACAAACATGTTGAAGGGGTTAACAATGAGAACACGGAACTACACACTTCAGCACAAACAACGGAAGAAAATAAAAGCATTTATATGTATTTTAGTATTTTTAATTAATTGTTTGGAAGTCATGGCATTTTGTTACTAAAAAACAAACAGCAAACTTTAAAAATACAACAGAAATTTGGGCCTTTTTCAGCCTACTGGCTTTCCTGTAAGATACACGAAAAATCAGAAAACTAGGAAAACCATCAAAGATATCAAGGAAGTAGAAAGTAAGTAAATGAAACAGAAAGCTGATGTTGACTTAGTGCAGCCTTTGTTGACTTAATAGCTTTGCACCATGAACCAATAACACAAGTATGCATTCATTCTGCGGGTGCTCTAAACAAAACAAGGCAGTAATATTTGACGGGTGTACAATTTAAAATGAGAGGAGGAATCTGGTTTATTTTCTCTATAAAACATGCTGAAGAAAAAAGACACATAAGAAATTTCATTTGCAGGTCATTGCTAATATGATGGAGGAATAATTTTATAAAGAAAGAAGCACCTTCTGGGAGATCTGAAGCCATACATTTATCTGCAATGAAATCATGCCACTTTTCATCATTCCCAATGCTAACAATGTGCTTTGCCAAAGGTCACATTTGAGCAGACGAGCTGGATCCCACTTGTGCAGCAGGTCCAGTGCTGGAAGCTGACTGCTATGGCCTCCTTTTAAACTACAGTGGCCAGGACATGAAGCCAGTTGACTTGTACTATAAGAAGGCACAAAAAGAAAGTAAATATGAGAGTGTACAATTACTTTATTTTCATGATATTGCTGCAACAAGAGAGTGTGCTAACACAAGTGACCACTTTACAAAGGGAAAGACAGTGTATTACACTGTCAAATACAGTCAGCTCTCCAGTATCCAGTGTTGGTTATTCCAGATGGAGAATTAACTGTGATATGGATGCTGAGCCAGCTCAACTCCAGCAAGGTTTATCAATGCCAGATAAGCATTCCTGTCGTTCTACTTCCCAAGACTGCTTTGCAAAGCAAATTCTGAGGCTGAATAGCATCAACTGCACGACCAAGGTCCTGATGTTATTTTGTCAGTGAGAGCAGACAGAAGTTTTTATTTAAAAAAGTCTCTGTTAACTTTTTTAATCTATTAAGACACTTCAAGAAGCAACGTAGAATTATGCTTCCAAAGGCTCCTATAAAAATTCTATATAAATATAAAATTACATAAAAATGTGCAAAATTTCTAAATACAATTATGTAAATGCTTACCTTCCCTACAGAGAAAAGTCTCATGAAAGTTAAATTCAATTAACCACTTCTCATAGAAAAGTTCAAAACATGCCACAATGTTTGACAAATGGAAGCAAAGAAAATAATTAAGGATGAACTAATCCTTACATCAGGACTTCTAGTCTGGACTTTTGCATGTGAAAAGTAGAATGAACTATAGTTCACAGCTGAGTCAGCATGATATAGGCAATCATTTGCAAAAGTTTTCAAGGGTCTTGACTTATAATTGTGAGCCACAGAAATTAAGTATCTCAAGTACCACCAGAGACTTCCTACCTGAAAAGAACAAGCAGCAAGAGATAGCAATATGTATTGCTTTTCTGATGCCAGTTTGCTCTTCCCAGATTCTTCTACAGACCGCAAAACCAAAAAGAATCCAAACATGTTTGTCAGGTAAATGGTTCTCCTTTGTGATTAAATCTCTTCACTCTTGATTTCAAAGCAGAATGCAACGCTATGGGGCTGGACTAACAAGTTCTCACTTGCGCTGTTTCACTAGAACTACAACTCAGATGCAATCCAACATGGGTTACCTGTTTCTCCATTATACCTCAACATAACACTTAACACGCTTTCAAAAAGTTTTCCTGAATTGTTTACAAGTAGTCTTTAGCAACCTACTCCATCTCGTAATGAAAATAAATGCACTGCATTTGATTACAGCAACTATGATTGAGTTCAAGTTGATTTAAAACATTTAACTAATTAAAAAATCAGAACTGCTGCAGGACAGTTCCGTCAAGTACTTGTCTGATCACGTACTGGTTTTAGTACTTCTGTCTAGAACATACTTCTTTGAAGTTCTAACTCATTCATCTCTTTCCCAAGAACATCCTGAAGGATGGCACTGCAGACAGTGTCTACTGGGCCTGTGCTACTTACTTTGTACCTTATGCAAGACAAAATGTACTTGTAGCAAAAGGGGCTCAATAAAGCAGGGGAATGCCTGGCATATGGAACAGCGTGTTACCAAAGCTCAGCAAAACCTGCAAGAGTGAGGAGGACGCTGATCTACAGCTTCCTCATGTAGGGCTCACAATGCCAAGTAAAACAACGTATCTGGGATGAAACCAGAATAACTGTCACACATGCAATTAAACATGTCTTAAACACTCAACAAATGTAACTAAACACTAAATATTAATACTAGAAATCCATTTGGTTTCTGAACTGGTTTGGTTATCAGCATGCCACAGAACACAACAATGCCCCAGGAAGAACTACAACAGACAACCTACACTAAAGTAGAGGAGTTTTAAAATTCAAATACTATTAATACTCTTGCTTCTCTTTTCTCTTCTCTTTTTTTTTTCCCTTTTAATACTGATGTTTCCAGTAAGGCTATTCATAAGGCAGGTATGTAAATATCTGCAGGAACTAGACCAACACCAAGAAACTGAACCCCATAAAAGCACTTAGCAATCAAATGAGATATTTAAATGGAGTTTTTATTTGCACAACTACATTTCTGTTGAAGAAACTCTTAAAAGAATTATAACATCACCTTATCCTCTTGAGCAAAATAGGAACTACTGTACCTAGTTGAGGAGGACATGGGGATCACTTCCGCAGCGATCCCTATCCATAATTCCATCTAACATCTTTTCAACTACAGGAGTGCAACAGTAGGTTTAACAAATTCTGAACTAGTTAGGTTTTTATTCCCACCCCCTGTTATTCTACACCTGAATACTTTTGCATACATAAATCCACTGCCTCAAGCACTGGAAGAAACAGCTCTTAGCCATTTAGTTTGCTTCCATCAGCACTCGGTAAGAAAGCATAAGCCGAATTCCCTTCCTATCTCATCCTAATTTTCACCTTTATGCTCAGTTACATAACGCTCAGAGACTAACTTTTACCTTGCATTGTTGCCACAATATGGTCCTTTCACTAGCACTTGAAGTATTACTGATGAGATAAAACACCTGACGTAGGAAGGAAGCCAAGTCCTACATCTAGTCCTCAAACACAATACTATTGTGGTAACTTCTGAACTCAGTTTTGGAACATTTGGTGACTAACACTTAATAAGAAAGCTATCTGTTTACCTAAAAGATAACATTATTCCTTTAGCTGTGTAAAAAGAAACAATTAATCTATGTTACTGAAAGAATCCTACACATAGCTTTTTTTAAATTATAAATTTCAACACAAGTGCTTGATCTTTAAGAAGCAACATAAGAAGCTCCACTAAACAACTATCAGGTGCCTTCATGACACTTCTGAAGCTAAAAGGCTGGTTTCAGATGAAACATACTTGAAAGGCCATATGGGAACCTATATTAACTGTCATCATGGACTACAACTCTCTCAGCTTTCATTAGAGTACAACGAAGTAAAATACCCGGAGCAAACTGGCTCAGGTGACAGGATCAGCAAAGATTGGGCTGCAATGAGTTCAAAGCACTCAGCATTGGACATCTAAGAAGCTTTGAAACCAAGCAAGATATGCCCAAATGTTTTAACTTTACCATTTATTTATTTATTTATATCTGCTCTAATTATCATTATAATCTGCTTCTCTCTAATTATATCTGCTTCTAATTATCATTCTGTAAATATGAATACTTTAGATCATCTCAACTGATGACTGAAAAATACATTATAAGAGGGAGAAGGCTGGATTCCTGACAAAAACAGCTATGCCCCCTCCAGTCCCAACAGGGAGCCTATAGATTACTTAGTACTCTTCCCCCTCAGCATCCCCAAACTCACCACTGAAGGAAACACATGCACTGACCATGAATCTGCCTTTTTCTTTTTTTCAAAGTAGGTTCATTTGCACTACAGTGAATAAGGCACAGAAAAGCTTATAAGGCCAAGGTCCCTTTCAAACAGCATGAAACACTACATTAAGAGGATGCTAAACAATACATAAAAGAGAATAAAATTAACACATTAGTAAGAAGACATAGCGCACAGCAAATGCCTTTTTTTTCCCCCTCCCACCCAGAATGACACACTGTAGATTGTCTCGGTATCTGCAAGGCACAAACCCACGGGGCAGCATCCTAATTCACCAAATAAATTTTAGAGGCAACCTGTGCCAGGTCTTACTTTTGGCTGGGAAGGCTGCTGGCTGCGTTGAGCTCGGCTATCATTTCCGCTACATTCTTTCAGCAGCACAGATAGCAAAGCTGACACGACCTTCTGAAGGAACTTCACCGAGATCGAGAGCGTTAAAAACTCATCCCTTCGGCTCTCGCGGGCGAAACAGCAGCCGAAAACTGTCAAGAAAGGAAAACAAAGGGAGTTAATTCCAGGCAAACCGAGGCAGAAGGCCCCTCCCTCCCCCCGGCCGCAGAAGAGTATGAAACAGAGAAAGAAATTAAACTCACCGACACCGCCCCCTCCCTCCCGGGCGCTCCCCCGGCGCGGCGGGCCCCGGCCCTGCGCGGCCCCGGCGTCAATCACGGCCTTGCCCGGGCCCGTCGGGGGCGGGGAGCGCCGTCACATGGGCGGGCGGCGGCGCTTCCGCGGGCGGCCGGAGGACGCGGCCGGGGACGGTCCCTCCCTGCCGTGCCCGGCGGAGCCGATGGGCCCGGGAGCCTCTCGCGGTCGTTGCTGCTGCGCTGCGCGGCGGGCGGCGGCGGCGGGCTCTGGGCCGCGCCCGCGCTGGCACTACCGCCCTCTGCCCGCCCGCTCGCTCAGCGGCCGCCGCTCGCTCAGGGCTCGCACCGCGCCGGGCACGGGCGGCGGGGGAGGCCGCAAGGGGCGGGCGGGCGCCGGCGGCCGTTGGAGAAGAAGAAGAAGAGGAGGAAGAAGAAGAGGAGGAGGATGAGGCAGAGCTGGAGGAGCTGCTGGGCCCCTCTCCGCTGGCCCTGGAGCCTGGCGCGCAGCGCGTTGCCATCGTGCACCCCGCAGTCAAGTGGGGCCCGAGGAAGTCGCCGCTCACCACGGGTGCGGGGGGCGGGCGGGCTCCCGGAGCGCTGCGGTGCGCAGGAATACAGCCAGGGGACTGGGAATGAAGTACCCTGGGAGGTGGTGGGGTCACCGCCCCTGGAGGTGTTTAAGGAATGACTGGATGCAGCACTTAGTGCCATGGTCTAGTTGCCGTGGCGGTGTTGGGCCACAGGTTGGACTCGATGTTCTCAGAGATCTTTTCCAACCAAATTGCTTCCGTGATTAGTGCCAGCAGCCTGAAGTGGACCCTCTCTTACAGCAGAGAAACTGCAAAATGCTGTTTGCAAAATGCAAGTTCGGATAAAAGGTTTAGGTCACTCTTTCCTTCTTTGACAACTTTTTAAAAGACAAGGAGCTGTCAGTGAGTGTTGGCAGATCTGTGCTTTGACTTGTAAATCATACTAACTTTGCATCTTTGACGGCAGAACATCTCAGTGCAGGAGTGTGCAGGTCCCTTAGGGAAACAGCTGGGTGTCCCCCTCGTTAGCTGAATGTTAATAGCCTTCAGCCCTGAACCGTGCTGCCTGGCCATTTGGGCAGGAGACCTTTGACCTTAGGCTTGCCCAGCAGTTGGCTGAAGAGCAGGAATACTTTGCTGTCCAAAGAAGAGAGTGCAGTGAAGATGAAGTCTTGTATAAGTCCTCTCAGGGACTTAAAGTGGTTATGCAGTTACTTAGTGATGCAATCACCAAGAAGTCCTCTGTAAGGACCTAATTTAGGACTACTATTAGATTTCTCTCAGAAATCCTTGTAGCTAGCTAATACATGTGCTCTAATCTTGCACAATTAAACTATGTGATGTATTTGATTCTACTCTTCAAACTCTAATTATAAAGTTGCAATAGAAAGTATTAAGCATCTTGTAAGTTAGCTTTTTATGTACAGAATCACAGAATAGTTTGGGTTGGAAGGAACCTTTAAAGGTCATCTACTCTGACTCTGCTGCAATGAACAGGGACATCTGCCAGTAGACCAGGTTGCTCAGAGCCCCATCCAACCTTACCTTGAATATTTCCAGGAATGAGCCCTCTACCACCTCTCTCAGCAACATAGGAGAGGTTCAATCTGTCTGATCATCTTTGTGGCCCTCCCCTCAGCCTGCATTAACAGGTCCATGTCTGTCTTGTGCTGGGAACCCCAGAGCTGGATGCAGTGCTCCAGGTGGGCTCTCAGCAGAGCAGAGTAGAGGGCGGAATCACCTCCCTTTACCTGCTGGCCATGCTGCTTTTGATGCAGCCCAGGACACAATTGGCTTTTTAGCCTGCAGACACATTGCCAGGTCGTGAGGAGCCTCTCATTCACCAGCACCCCCAAGTCCTTCTCAGCAGGGCTGCTCTTGAGCTGTTCATCCCCCAGCCTGTATTGATACCAGGGCTTGTCCTGACCCAGGTGCAGCACCTTGCACTTCGTCTTGTTAAACCTCATGAGATTCCCATGGGCCAGCTCCTAGAGCTTGTCCAGGTCCCTCTGGATGGCAATAGACAATTTATGTATGATATCTATTCTTGTATTCGAATTTATTATGTGATGAACCTAAATGTCATTTAGTTTTATTAATGCTGCTAATTATAACAAATTGTCACATTGCAAAGTAAAGTTTATAACCTTTTCAGAATTTACAGAAACACTCCTATTTTGCAACTGAAAAATAAGTAAAATATGAAGGCACCTTTCTGCCCAAAAATGCAGAAGAATAGCAATGATCCCTCTCCATTTTTTGAGGCCCTCCAGATGAAGAGCCTGAAGTTGGAAAAAATGTTTTGGAATGATTGTTGAAACACCACCGATAGAACAGGAAATATTTACGTTTTACAAGAAATACTAACAATATATGAGGAGAAAGCGGATCATGGTTATCTTTCAAAATACATTACCTTTTGGACCAAGGTAACCTATTTAGTATATAAATTACATTTTGCTATCTAGAGACACTTGATAAATCTGTTATGAGAAGAGGAAAATTTTGGCAAATCAAGACTGGATCTACTGATCTGATGTGCCCATGTAGTGTTTTTCAGTCAGTTTTACAAAATCTTCAAAAAAATAAGTGATGCACCAGAATATAGGATTGAATTTGCTGGTTCTAGCAAGTCGTAAACTAGTGTAGGTCCTTTACGAATAAGTGGCTGTGAAGTAAGCAGCAGGATATGCCATGTTAGTAATTTTTAAAATATTGCCTCAAAACACCAAGGTGTTAATCACATGGTTTTGTGCTTGTCTGAAATAACAGATTTTCCAGCTAGTTGTTATTTTCACTTGTTTAGCCAAAAAGCTTGGTAGTTTCTGTCAATACAATTAAAAATTCTTCTAAGTCAACAACCGCAAAAATAATTTATACTGGCAAAAAATGCTTTGTGTGATAAAATTTCATCAAACTATTCAATTACTCTGATTACAGGTAAGACATTTTGCTCCTTGTGCTAGAGGTTAAAATAAATACCCAAGTAGAATTTCAGTGTAGTGTTCATGCATGTACTGTAGTTAATGGAGATCTGAGCAGAGTTATGATGGTACATTGTAATCTTTATTTCTTCTTTTTTATTATTATGTTCCTGAAGCTGAATTACAGATTGCTGAGGCCGTCGCTCTTGTAGATACTCTTCAGAATTGGACAGTTTTAGATAAAATAATTATTCCTACAAAAAATCCTGACAAGAAGTTTGTTTTTGGCAAAGGGAACTTTCAGGTTTTGACAGGTAAGGACTGAGATCTTTCAGCACTGAATCATTCTGAATGCAAGACTTTTGCAGCTGAACTGTTTAAGGATAGGTGTGAAAGCTGAATAGAGGGAGAATTTTGTTTATCCATCATACACATTTGCAGACAAACTTCAAATAATGTTTTAAGGTTACAAAAGCAATACAGAATAGGCATAACCTGTGCTCACAGCAAATGTGTGAGGCAACTTAGTAAGTATATGTGATGGACATAAGTGAAACTGGCAACTGTTCTTGGCACAGTACTAAATCAGTGCAATTGCAACTGTTCCATGAACAAAGAATATGGTGCCATTTGACATTTTATGAACATTCTGCTCAGTGCAAAATGGTTTATAGTCTGGGAATTTTAAAAAGAGAATTTACATTTAACACTATATTTTGCAATGGTTATCTTTCAGAAAAGATTAAAAAATTGCCACACCTGACAGCTGTCTTCTTGAATGTGGAAAGAGTATCTTCACTGACAAAGGTAACTGAATACAGTATCAAATAATATTCTTTACATTGGTATTGTTTGGAAGGTATTGATGTTATGAGAAGCGGTCAGTTATGACTCTGAATTTGCAATTGGTAATATATGAAGGCACAGGACTGAGTTTTGTTGAAATGAAACTTAATGCCTATTGTGTTTGTCCAGTTGATACATCTGTTTGCCAGCTCTAGTGCATGGAATTTTTCAGCAGCCTAGTGTCATTTGTTATAGACTCATCTCCCACATTTGCCACTGCTCTAGTTAAAATGCTGGAAAAGTTACTCAAGGTCTTGTTCACAACATGGTGGTTTTATGAAGAACATCAACATTTTGGAATAGCTATATGCTCAAGTGCCTATACCGGAACTGGATAATGTCTATTTTCCTATGGTTCAGTGGATGCTCAATTGTAATTTGAATATGAGGTGTAAATTCAGAGCAAGATTACTTTTTAATGTTTCAAATATTTAAACTTTCATTCCTAACCCTTAAAAAGAAATGTTGAGGGGCGGAGCGTACTTCTCTTTTTTAACACTGGCAGTAAAACTTTTGGTGCGTGAACTGTAGATACTCTTTTGAAATGCTTAGACAAACTGAAATAAATACTTTTTTGGGGTTTTGTATGTATAGCATCATCCAGGGTGTAAAGTGCATGCAAACTGTGCAAGCAAACATCAATGCTTTGCTAGTAATTTTGAACGCTTTTCCTAATTATAAAATGAAGAGATGGTAAGTATCTCTAGTAGATGGTTATCTCAAGCACTTCCTTTTGTTGATGAAAGGGAAGTTGAAATTGTTTCATTTCAATTTCCTAGTTTTTATTCTCTGAGTATGAGTTCTTTTAGTACTGGATTTGCTATTTTTTTTCTTTTCACAAATCTAGATCTTAAGAGCAATTGAAGAGACTTGATTCAATAAAGTGTTTGAGAATATGTATACAACATGTATATATGGATATGTTTATATATACATGGATACACAAGCATTCTGAATTTTAGAGTTGACATAGGGAAACTAGTGTGTACTTTTAAGTGTCTTTTGCTGAACTAGATCAGGGGTGAGGGATTTTGGTTAGTTGGAGTTTTTAAGTATTTTGTGAAAAACTTATTATTAAATATTTTTCTTGCCTTCCTCTCTATTTTTTTAAGTTTTAGTGATCTTTTTCTTCTTGTTTTCTTATGTTATCCCTATCCTTTCCCATTCCAGTATTGCATAATTATTTTTTACAAGGACTTAACCACTGAGATTCTTGATTCTGTGATAATGCTGTAAGAGGTGTTGCCAGAATCCATTAAAGGCAATGAAAGGATTCTCGCTGAATTTGATGAGCCTAGACATAAAGTTCTACTTTCTAAACTCTCTTCTTAACTCATTTTCTTCATGGTCAACCAAATTTTGCATTTGCATGCTCATAATCCTTGCCCATCCACTGAAATGGAATCCTGAGATCCTCTGAGTTCAAGTGTCCATCAGCTAACTGTAAGTGTAGTGCTGTGTAGGAAATGCTGTAGTGATACTGCGAGGGACAGAAGACATCTCAATTATTTTGTCTTACATGGCTAAAGAAAGAACTAGAAGGTGCCTGGGGTGTGAAAGTCTTTGACAGATACACCATTGTACTTCACATTTTTCGTTGTAATGCCCGGACTAAAGAAGCAAAACTGCAGATAGCTTTGGCCGAAATTCCACTTCTCAGGTACCTCGAGCTGTGCAAATCACATACTGATATTTACACATTTTAGTGACTGTTTCTTTACAGTAACAAAAATAGCAATACTTTCTTTACAGTACTGTAAAGAAAAAGTACTTTTACAGTGTTTGCATAGATTGATTAGAAAATAGAAATGTTTGCTATAATGTCATTGTTTTAAGCTGACAGGCAAAACCAGAAAGTGTTCAATAGATAGTCTTAAAAAATGTTTTTATCAGGAAAAGGTTCCAGTTCTTTCTAAAATGGAAGATGGATTACAAGAATATGTAGTAATTGGATATGTGTATCCAATATATGATACTGATGGGTTTAATGAGGAAAGCTATAAACAAGGAAGATTAAAGGCATTAATTCTTGTCTGAATTTTCCACAGTTCTGCATTACGTAGCATAGAAATGTATACATGGCAGTTGATGAGAGTTGTGGGGATGCATCAGAGGTATCTTTGACTCTCTGAAGTTTCAGAATAGCAATTACAATTTGCTTAGAGGGTTGCATGCTTCGTCAAACCACGGTTGAGCCAGGAAAATCTGGATTTTTTTGCCAGGCTTCTTGCCACGAGCAGATTTTATTTACAGCTCAGTCATTTGCTGTTTTTATTTGTACTGTCAGAATATCACTACTGCTTCATATTTTTTAGGCATTTTAGGATAGCTCAGTTAAAGAAAATTGATTCTAGTTAATTGTTACTCTGCTGCCAGGTCAAATCTGAAAAATGAGGTGTCTCAGCGAGATCAGCAGAGAGGTGGATCACGATATATCATGGGCTCAGGTAAAGTCTAAATATTCTCATTAATTAGAAGATTTTTTTTCTTCCATAGCCTTTAAACAAATGTAGTTGCATCTTACTTGCTTTGGAGGAGGTCAGGAGGAAAAACTGTCCTGCGTGTTCTGCATCTAATTAGGCAAATGTACAAAGCAAGGTAAATAATAAAGTTTTGGTCTGTACTCTCTCAGTAAGTGGTCAAGAACAGACTATTTCCTGCCACAGGGGTTTATCATAAGTGTGCATGGATATTCTAAAGTACTTAGCATATATTTTAATAATTACTTACTCTGATTCTTAGGCAAGAATACATAGCTTTAGTTGCTTATTTCTAACTTCATATTCCCTAGTGCTAACTCACTTGCTTTCCAAATGCACAACACTTAGTTTACTTTTTCTCTTGTAAACTATTCGGCCAATTATTCACCTGTATTTTTCAGGGGAAACATTTCTGGAGACACAGAATCGTATCTTGAAAGAAAGAGAACTTAAAATTAGGAATGCCCTGGAGAAACTAAGAAGAAAAAGGTCTTTACTTAGAACTCAGCGCAGAAAACGCGAGTTTCCGATGATCTCAATCATGGGCTATACCAACTGCGGTAAGTGAAACCTCCTGAAATTGTAACGTGAAAGAGATTATATTGTCTAATTTTTAATTAGCAACTCTAGCCAGAATCTCATTTCTGTGTGAGTAGGCTTCATATTTTAATTAGTTTTTAAACTGTGTAATGAATTTATGTCAGTTAGGTTACAGTTAGGAAGGCAAATTAAGCTGCTTGTTTTTTTCAGTCTCAGAGACATGTTTTGGAGAAATGCCTAGCACCTGTTGTGTCAGAAAGATTATAGTGCTGAAGACTGTAGTGTTGGTGTCCCTTTATACGAGACTACTACTTGATCAGAATGGGTAGAGAAAAGTACATAGGTGTTTAGATCACTGTGAAAGCTTGAGGCATAGGAAGAAAATTGAGAAGAGTTGGCAGTTGATCTGAGAAATGTGCTTAAGAAGCACTGTAGCTTTTCATGGATTATGTGTAGTGTTTTGAGACGTGTTCCTAAGAGAATATAAATAAATATTATAAATATAAACTGGTTTTTTGGTTTTGTTTTTTAAATTTGAATTCTTACACAAGGCATAAATAGACTTTGGACTAGACACTTTTTTCCAGGTTACATTATCTTAAGACCATTTCGTGTTCTTATTCAACAACTTTGTAAAAACAAACTTACCTTGCACAAAGATGTGGGTAGGTCACTTTACAGATCAAATCAGTCTTTGATCATCTTGTGATTTCACAGCATAGCTTCCATACATTCACCTTAAACCCAACCCCGAGTTATAAGACTGTCTTTGGATTTCCTAACATCATACAGATAACTGATCACTAAATTACTAAATGATCACATTAAAATTACTGAAGTAGATGTGAAAATATGTTACATCACACAGTTCACCTGGATCTTGCAAATGACATTTTTACTTGAAACAAGCCATTAAAATCTTGTCCTTTTTTTATTTAACTAGGAAAAACTACTTTGATCAAGGCCTTGACTGGGGAAGCAGGACTTCAACCCAGGGATCAGCTGTTTGCCACTCTCGATGTTACAGCCCATGCTGGCTATCTGCCCTCACATATGGCAGTTATTTATGTTGACACCATTGGGTTCCTGACTGATCTTCCACATAGTCTGGTTGAGTCCTTTTCAGCTACATTAGAAGAAGTGGCTTACACAGTAAGTAGTTGACTATAAAAATTGAGAAATCAAATTAATTTCCTGTTAGATAATCCTCACTCCTTCAAAAAAGGGGAAATTAATTGACATGCTGCTCTTAGTGAAACATCTGGCTGACTATAATAGTTTCCTAAGAAAATGATGTATATATCTTACAGTAAACCAGTTTTCTGATACTTGAAATTATGCAGAACATACAAATATGAAGAGATTTTGGAAAGGGCTTATTTGGAATATACATGTCCTTCTCCATGATATGTAAAGCAGATAAATCAGATTTTGTTGATTAAATATCTGAACAGTGCACCTGAGTGAGTTGAGACTAGCTTTCTTAAGAGCTAAAAGTGAAATAAAACTGCTGAAATGATCTGGTTTTAACTTAAGGTTTCCTATGGCACTAAAAGTGGGTGATTGTGATGTGATGCAGGCAGCACGTAATTAACATAAATGTACTTTTCCAATTATTTTCTCATTATTTGCCTGTGTTATAGCAAAGTGTAAAGCTGCATACATACACACAGACATTAAAAAAAAAAGCCTGTATCATCAAAGGTAATTAAATTCAGTGGTGGCTAGATGCTAGAATGCTTCTGAGGATTAGATTTCACCAGGGCTTTGAAAACCTGGCTGAAACTGTCTTGTTTGTTTTTCTCCAAAGTGTTAAATGAAAGGCAAGAAATTTGTTTCTTACTGATTTTCAAAAGTTTAAAGCAGTGTTTTGAGCAAAGATGATGAAATGTTTTGAACGCAAATATTGAATTTGGTTGCTTGGTTTTTATCATGGCAAACATGATTGTGTGCGTACTTGAAACTGATAACTTCTGTATAAAGCTTTTTAATTGAAGCACCAGTAATAGTATCCTGAGAGCTAAGCATAAGGATAATCTTCTGCATTTTGAATGTAAAAATAGAATTACAAGTTACATGGGGTTTTTTCCCTCCATTTTTGAAACAGTTTTTCAGCCATTACTCTTCTAAAAGTGCTTTTTAGAGTTCACTCTTTTTTTCCTCTGGTGTTGTTGAAGCCTTATCGTTACACAGCCTTGTCTTTGAAAAGAATAGATCAGCTATTACTTGAAATATGAATTCTGTAGCTAGCTTGGTTGACAGGGTTTGTTTCAGGTTTGTTGGAGGCAATTTGTGCTCAATGTGAAGTGAAATACTAAGCTGCTACAGATTTTCTTCCATCATGGTCCAAGAAACAGAATTGGTTTAATACTGTTTCAGTAGTTAATTTTACCGTGCTAACCTGCCAGTATATTATCTAATGGATAGGGAAGTATCTTATATGAATAAGCAATACAAAAATGGTGGAAAACCTCTACAGCCTGGTAACTGGTATTGTATATTGATCCTTGCTAGGATCTGATAGTTCACGTGAGGGATATTACTCATCCAGAAACCATCCTCCAGAAAGCAACTGTCCTGTCAGTTCTGAAGAATCTTAATCTTCCCAGTCATTTATTGGACTCAATAGTAGAAGTTCATAACAAAGTGGACTTGATAGAAAGGTAAGCAGGAGATGCTTAAGTGTACTTAAACATTTCTTATGTTCTGGAAGCTCTTTAATTCTTAGTCTAGAAGAGCTCCCACACTTCAGAATACATTTGATAGTGTTTCTCAATCTTTTACGTATGTAACTATGGTCTTAAAAAGAATTAATTATCTTTTAATAACCAAAGAAATCACTTTAGTCATAAAAGAAGTGGCCTCTGTAGAAGGTGCCAGTATAAAGTAACTCAGTTAAAAATGAGTTTGGAATATTTTCACAATCTAATCTTCATGAACAAACGTGCTAGGCATTATTTTCTTTCAGGTATAAACCCACAGAAGAAAATGCTTTAGCTGTTTCTGCTCTACATGGGCATGGTTTAGAAGAACTGAAACAAGAAATAGAGAAGAAAATACTGACAGCAACAGGGAAGAAGATTCTGACAATTGATGTCAACTTAGAGGGACCTCAACTAAGGTAAATAATTTTAAATTGTATGAAGGATTTGGAGAAATATGACTTAGTTGTGCATGTCCTAAACCTTCCAAATCATATCATACTGATTTTAATCTGCTTAAGAATGACAGATATAATTATCAAAGTTTTCTGACAAAAAATAGCCCCATTAGATATCCCAGAGAAGAGAAGCAAAGCACTTCATCTTTTCAAGTGTTGAATTACCTAGATAGAACATGTTGACCTAAACCAAGATCATATTTTATGCAGTGTGTCATACCATTAAGATGCTAATATGCTTTTACTTTTACAGTTGGCTACATAAAGAAGCAACAGTTCAGGAAGTAGAAGTCATGCCTGAAGATGGCACAGCCAGGGTGAAGGTGATAATCAGCAGTTCTGCTTTTGGCAGATACAAAAACCTCTTTCCCAACAGTAAGATTTTCATGTCATGAAACGGAATCTTTTTCTAGGAAAAGAAACTGGTATCACTAAGAGGATGCAAAATGAAGTTAATGACCTGTTAGTCCCAGTGTTGAGAAGTTTATTTTTTTTCCCCTATTGATGTTTATGACACATTTTAGAAATGGACACTGTTTCAGAAAACTTCTGTTTGGAAACAATGAGACCTTTGAGCTTAATTTTATCAGCAAGTGCAAGGACAACACTAAATTTTTAATGTTAAAACTGTTGCTGGCTATAAGCTGTGGACCTCAAACACATGGAATGGCATCTGACTTAACCTTCAGAAAAGTACCAAGTTCCTTATATCATATAAGTAAAGCTTTTTATCCCCTTTTTCGAAATAAAATATTTATTATAGTTGTTTCAGATGATCTTTGGAAAATGAAAGTAAGTGAACAAAATATTGGTGTATATAAATAAGTATGTATTCAAGCAGAATGCATGAACATAAACAAAATAACTGCCATGTCATATTGCAGTGAAGAAAAAACTCCATAGATTTGTATATTAAAGTATTGAATAAAGTTAGCTGTGAACATCTTTTACCCGTGCAGTTTTCTTGCTTACAGTAATTTATCCAAAATACCTCTTACTGTGTCAGTCTTGGAGAAGACATTTAGGGTACAGCAAACCTTTTCACAAAGGAAAACAAAAGAAAAGAAACCAATCACAACTGATCTATTACTTGAGTTATGAATTACTACTGGGAACCAATAAAACAGTCAATATCAGGAAAGGAGAAACAAAGCTATTTCAGTCCATGTTACACAGAGAGATCAAGTTTTATTAGAGTAACAAGGGTACAAAAGATAGGCAGAAGAACATTCTGAGTTCTGAGTGCTCGTTATGAAGTACATAGAGTAAGAACAGGATGCAAAGCACTGTAAAAAAGCATTTTGGAAGTCTTCCTCATAAATGTAATGTTTAATTTTTACTCCTGTGTATTCTGCAATTGCAAGAGATTCCATGAAGAGGTTGCATCTTACCCTTTCATGCTGAGCAGTTTAGAGAGAATTTGATACAATGGTAAGTAGCAATTGATTTAAGACTTCTGCAAACATTAGCATCTTGTCAAACATCTGAACTTAGCTTTTGCATATAAAGTGCATCTAAAAAGTGAGGTATATAGATGAAGCTGCATAGTCAATTTTACACAACTTTTTGTTTTAGTTCTGATGCTTGCTATTTCTCTTGCCTTCGTGATCATCTGTTATTGCACAGTTCATTTAGAAAAATAGAATTAATATGCAATAGCAAACAGCATAAACCCCTTAGTTTTCACATAAGCAAAAATTACTTAGTGAGAGGAAAAATAATTATAGAGCTACTAAAATAGCTAAATCAAAGACCAGATGTGAAACCCCAAATGAGCATGACAGAAGTGAAGAACCTGTATTTCTAGAGCAGTTTGAGTTTAGGTAAGGAATTTGTTTCCTCTGTTTATTTTCAGTGTAAGACATACTTTGGCAACACCTAATAAAACATTTGACACAGACAAAACTGACTAGGGCCCTAGTTTTGGTATCTTTATCACTTCAGAACTGGCATGAGTAAGTGTGCAAGTACACATACTGTTTACAAATCATAAATAATTTTGTGACTACTCTGTTGGTAAGGCAGTTCACAACTGATACTCAACACATTGGTGTATACATAAAATCATGTCAAATTGGATTGTCAATACAGTACCTTTGATATATCAAAAATATTTTTAAACTTCCTTTTGAACTATGAAAACAGACAAGTCAGTTTCACACTGATATAAAAGAGTAAGAATTGGGGATGCAAGTAATGCAGAATATCCTTATAAGAAAGATAAAATCACTAAATAATTCATGCCGCTACTGGCATATTTCTCCTTCTTGGTCCTATGTAAAATAAGATTAAGTTGTTGGGACTTTCAATATTGCCTGCTGCTACAGAATCAAAACATCTCCAAATAAATTACACCTATACCATAATTTTCTGGAGACTTCAGCAAGGTCCAAAGGTCTTGAAACTCAGATGATGTTGAGAGACCTTTTCTTACTGAGCCTTTAAAGCATCCCTGGTTTAAGTTAAATAGACCTTTATGGGATTCAGGATGTTTACAGAAGAGCACATTAAATGCAGACAAAGCCTTTTCAGCTTTTCACAGACTAAGAAGCAAAGAATGAAATGTTATTTGTTTCAGCTCCTCTACTTTGACAGTCTAATGGAGGATTAATTTTTGTGTTAAGTTCTATCACATCTTTGACAAAATCATTGTTTCCTATAAAGTCTCCAGCAATTATGTTAATACATTCTTTTTTTGGTCCTGGATACTGCTGCTTTATCCAGATTTTCAAGCATGGAAGACTCTGGAGTGTCATTTTCTTCAACGATCCAAATGGGTGTAGGAGAATATACCCTAAGTTTTCGGTAAGGTTAATCCCTGCTACAAAGAATTTTCCTGAAACAAAAATCAGAAAGTGACTCATTAAATATTCTTTTAAGGAGAACAGAAACTGCTCAGTATTGCATTAGCTTCAGATCTTGTTCCAGTGGGAAGCATTAAAATACTTAAACTTCGCACACTCTTTCTGTATTGTTTCATATTCCTACAACTGATTCAGTAGACTCTCTCCCCTTGTTGCAACTTCATGCTGTAGTAAACAGTTCCTGAGCCCACACTTGGTTATCTAACCATTCCAGTTTAGCTAAATTTGTCTAACTGCTTTTCCTTTGTAAATTATGTTTGTTTCTGTGAGGGTTGCTTCCAAATGCTTAGCCTTCCCCCATGATAGATGGAAACAAAGGGTGCACCACATGAGCATTTTCCTTTGGCTGGGAAGCACTTTCGAAGCAGCTCTCCCCTTTATCACCCTGTGCGTTCCCATCAAAAGCTACATCAGATGTTATGAGCTGAATTTCTCTCAGATTATACTACAATAGCATGCTTAAGTGCTGCTATTTGCTGGTGCAACTACACTCTCCACGTACTGTTCTTGTATCCATAGAATCATAAGGTTGGAAAAGACCTCCAAGATAGAGTCTAACCTTTGACCAAACATCAAACCACAACAACTGAATCACAACACTAAGTGGCACATCCAGTTGTTTCTTGAACACTTACGGGGTGGTGACTCCACTACCACTGTGGGCAACCCATTCCAATGCTTAACCACCCTTTCAGTGAAGAAATTCTTCCAAATATCCAACCTGAACCTGTCCTGGCACAGGCCTGAGGCCATTTCCTTCTGTCCTGTCACTTGTTGCCTGGGAGAAGAAGCTGAACCCCGGCTTGCTGCAACCTCCTTTCAGGTAGTCATAGAGAGCGATAAGGTCTCCCCTCAGAGAAACCTCGTAGGAGTTTCTTTTCACAAGGCTAGCAGAACGCATTTCTCTCATCATCTGTGCTGCCTAAAGCAGCAAGCTCTGGACTTGAGGGAGCTGCGTCCTACCCGTGAGGTGGGTACAACAGGGCCAGTGAGCCGGTCTGTGCTGAGGGCCTCCTCTCCGTGGGATCACATAAGGGATGTGGCTGCCACAATTTATATAGTCTATGCATGTACATACACTGACACACCACCACAGATGAACGCTGCACTCGCCCATTGGTGGGCAGAGCACTCAGCAACGACGGGCACACAGCATGCACAAAGGGGTTATACCTCATAAGGTTACAATCACCCAGTTTCCTGTTTGTTTTGCACTGCTGTTAGCGCCCCTTCTTTCTTCCAAGCAACTCCCTGTGCCTACCTGGACGGCCCCTCCGCTTCATGTGCTCTAAATACCGGATAAGAGCACGAGTGGATGTTTTATTTCCCCACCAGTATGGGATCGTAGGCCACAGCTCACAGTGCTCCTTCAGTTCCATGTCCTCTTCGTACGAGACTATGACCTGATGGCCCAGCTGCCACATGGTCCTCAGTGTTGGTATCACCTAAAATAAAGCATGCTCGGGTTGAAGTCAGCAACACAGCAGCGTTCCCAAAGTTCGAATACTGTTGTGTGACATTACCTTGACACAAATTCAGTTCAGATAAAGCTTATAAACAAGCAGCCTGGTAGGTCAGGGGCTGGGTTACAAACTGCAGGGGCAACAGGAGCCTGGTTACTTCAGCAAATTCCTCCTTTTCTCAATTTAACTATGATAATGTACATAACTGAAGGTCTTACACCTGCATAACCATCCCCGTGTCAGCCCTTGTGCACAAGCCACTGCTGAAAATTTGTTGAGAGAGGAAGACACAGACCATCCATGGACAAGGAGACAAAGCCCTACACGCAGCTGTAGGAATGCAGACACAGATGAAGAAAAGCAGGAATCATTTTGGCAAATGCCCCACATTGATGCATATTTGGCACTGTAGCCATTAAACAAAACTGAACTGCTTAAAACTTGATAAGACTAAATGTCAGTCTCCAAGAGCTACATTAATTCTGATTTCTTTAAGTGGAAGGTTTCTGAAGTTGGGATGCTCCAGACATTTTGAATTGAGAGAGAGGAAGACCTGGGTCAGAAACCTCTGACAGACAGATGGGCTGAAACAGGTCTGTTAAATTTAAGTATTTCAATATGAAATGACATTTTCCAACCCTCAGAAGTTATCATGGAGAGAATTGAGGCCCTCTGACTAATTTAATTTGCAAAAACAACATATTTAACAGGCATTCTTTTTTTTAAGAATATTGTGGTTAAAAGCTATGTCTGTTGCTTATGAAAAGGAAATGGTGGCTTTTTGATATTCCAATTAACTTATTAATTAAAATAAAAGCCAAAGTCAGTTGAAAATTATTTACATAAATATTTGAAGAAAGCCAAGGGTTGAATGAACATGGCAATCCCTCTTACTTCATCCAAGAAAAACAGAATGCAAGCCCCAGTTAGGTCAGGAAATACTGTAAAATTAAGGCACAGGCTACTAAAACTACAAAACTCTGTGTTTGACTGAAGTCTTTGCTTTACTCCACTGCCTTTCTAAAGCTCGTACCTCTTAAGCAAACAAACAAATAAAAAGTTGTGGAG